GATTTTTCCTCACCAGGGGGCGAGTACACAAAATGACCAGGGAAGGGAAATTAAATCTTTGATTTAAATGAAACCAGGTTTTGCCAAGTATTATTGACTTTTTCCTACGCTAAACACGCTTAGTGTGACAATAGGAGCTGTTCCCCTGAAATTAACGGTTGATCCACAATCATGATAACGAGGGTCTGCAGCTTCTGTGGTCTGACATCGACACCAGAAAACAGAAAACGACATCTTCAGAAAAGTCCAACAATGAACCAGAATTTCTTTAGTCAGGTTATTAAAATGTTTTTCTTCATGGCTTCATCCTCTTCTTCCACCTTCCTGCTGGTGCAGAAAGTCTGGTTCTACAGAAGACAGTTACATCACCTGAACTTTTATATACGAACCACGAGGTGACGCTAAAATCATACCTTTATCATTTGATGCATTGAACCACCAAAATCATTTTTCAGTTTTTTTATTATTCAAACAGAGTTTCTGTACATTAACGTTTTGTTCCCCCTGCACAAATGTTTGCACATTTCCTCCCCACTGTGACGTCTACTCTTGTTTATTCATCTCTGTAGAATGTTGATGCACAGCTTCAACAAAGGCACCAACATGCTCTGGGTCCATGTCAGGATAAAGACCGTGGCCCAGGTTCGCAATGTATCTCTGTGTCCCAAAGCCCTCCAGCATCTTTTTAACAATGTTGGAAATGCGTTCCTGTGGAGGGATAGAAGTTGGTCACATATTAGAACATCTTCCAGGTTCTCATTTTAAAATGTTCTACTCAAATGAAACACTGATATGAATACTCATGTGTGCTGTATCAGAAGGAAAAGCTACACACAATCTTGAAGGGAAAAGAGAAGCACATTTTTCCTGAATATTTGTTGCACATCATACATACACTACCGGTCAAAAGTTTGAGAACACCCCAATTATTCCAGTTATTTATTGCAATTCAAGTCGTGTAAGCCCAATGAATAGCTTGAAATGGTACATAGCTAAGTACTGAACAGCCAGAGGTTAAAAAAAAAAGTTTGGTTACTCAAAACCAAAAAATAGTGCATATTTCAGAATTATACAAAATTTTAGTTATACAATAATTTTCAGTAAAAAAATGAAAAAAGTGTGGTGTTCTAAAACCTTTAACCGGTAGTGTACATTTATGGTAATTGTCATTGGTCTGTGTTTATATATCTTGAATGTTTTTCTCTGTATATTTAAAAAAATAGCTCTGGTTGTTACCTTTGGAGCATAGAGTGCACATGGATCCATGTTCCCCTGGAGGCTGACCTTTCCTCTTGTGAGCTCCCTGAACACACACACACACGCACACATAAAGGGCAAACAGAGTAACCTTGTACTGAGTGGTTAGGTATTTGAAGAAGAAAACACAGACAGACATTGTTGACTCGTCCACTGCACCCTGTGACAAATCAGCTGATGAGGAGACTTCATTAATGGTTACCCTGCTCCACAGTCTAGTCTCGGTCAATGCTGAGTTTTTTTATAGCTTTATATGTTTGTAAGAATGTATTTTAGATTATTAGGAGAGCTAACTATTCAATCAACTGACTTATTAATAAATAATGTTTATATATGTATATACTGTATGTGTATGTGTGTATGTGTACCTTGCAGAACTTGGGTTAATGGTCCAATCCAGTCCAACCACCTCATAACCAGACTGTGACAGGTCCTCTAGTCCGTAATGAGCATCCTTTGCAAACACAATCTGAAAGAAAAAACCAAACAGACAACACCCCAGATGGTGAACGGTGGTGAAACATTTCAAATGATGGAGCAATTGCTGCTCTGTTATGGTGTTCTTCTGGGAGGACGTGAGCAGTGAAATTACCATTAAACAATTACAATTAAACACTATCTTTCTATCTCTTTCTATTTCTATCTCTAAACACTTTCTATCTCTTACCATGGGAACATCTTGTCCCGTCTGCTTCAGTTTGTCTTTAACTCGACAGGCGATGTCTCGGAGGTAAGGCAACGAGAACTCACTAAACTCAACAGGCCCCAAGATTCCGGCGTGGGAATCAAAAACCTGTAGAGCCTGGACAGAGCAGAGCAGGAGAGACGACAACACTTTGTTTTAGAGGGACAAACACTACAATGAATCCAGGAATGTTGTTATGACAAACACTCATAACTAATCGTGATTAGTGAACAGCTTACCTACTAGGTAATGCAGACATGTGATTAATCAGACTAAACATAATGTTTGTCAACCATAAAATATATTTTATGTACAGTATATCCAACAGACAGCAGTATGTGAATGTGATCATGTTTGCTTCTTAATCAATGAAGTTTATATAATTTATCACAACAACCCAGTGGTCTGACCTGAGCTCCCGCTGTCACCTGCCCCAGCAGATACTCCACAATCACATCAGTCAGCATCCTCAGCAGCATGTGGCTGGCCTCGGGGTATCTGTACAGCCAGCGCTTTGCCTTAGAGTGGGTGGTGGAGCCACCGCCCTCGATCATGTAGGACATGAGCGTCCACTGCACAGAGGCACAGCCAAGTGGTGGGGAAAGAAAACAAAACAGATACTTTAATGGCTATCAGAGGGAATCGGTAAACACACCACACATCTGCTGACTCAACGCAGGATCCATTCACAACCGGTTACAGTCTGGACGACAGACTGATCACCGGTGTATGTTGGAATATCACAAATGCAATCCCGCTGATAACCTTTGTCATCAGCCGTTTTAACAACTCAAGATTAATGACTGATTGATTTTCTTTTTTATTAGCGGTATGGCACCACCTATGGTGCTTTGACTCCCTCTTGTGGTACACGTAGGAACGGCAGAACATGTTACAGTCAAAGAATATTTTATCAAACTATTTCTAATAAACACAAAGATGTTGTCACCATGATGCAGAAAAATGTTTGCATGTAATGTATTTCTAATGAAGACAACAATATGGTATGGTTGACCTTAAAAACGATGTCAATGCAATGCTGTTGATGTAATTTTCTTACTAAATGACATAAAAAGACCAACTGTTCTCTCACCGGAGCTCCAGTGAATCCTATAAGCGGCACTTTGCCCTCGATCTTGTGTCTGGTCAGTGTGATGGCGTTGAAAACGTAGCCAAGTTCCTTGTCCACGTCAACTTTGACACGCAGCCTCTGCAGGTCTTCAGGGTCTTTCAGGGGGGTTGGAAACGTAGGGCCTTTACCTGGAACCATTTGGACATCCATACCCAAGGCCTGGAAGAACAGAAAATGTATTTATTAGCAGGCCATGTTTTTTTAATAATTTAAAAATGCTCACCTAAATATATGTAGTGCATTTAAAATAAAATAAAAATATGATAGAACCCTCAAATCAAGGCAAATTGTACTTATTGGTCTTCACACAACTTCCCCTTCACCCTAATGATTCCTTATTCCTTTTTATATTTACCTGAGGCACGACCAGAATATCAGAGAAGATAATGGCAGCATCAAAGGGAAAACGTCTCAGAGGCTAAAAATAGAAAAAGAGAATTTTTCAAATGCACAGTTTACATACAAAAACAAAGTGATATTTTACAATAATATTAAGAGTAAAGGTTGTCAATAATGTTTTGTTTAAGGATATTTCTCCATATACTTTAAGTTCTACCTGCAGAGTGAGCTCACAGCAGGCCTCTGGTGATCGACACGTCTCAAAGAAGTCCTTCCCTGCTCTGGCCTCACGGAACTCTACAGAGGAAACATACTGTATTTCAACAATGAAATCACATGGAAAATTATATGGTAAAACCATTTTATTTTTTCACTTCACTCGTTTTAGGTTTAATGATGGATTTGTTTAGTTATAACATTGCTATAACTACAGCTAGATTTCCTGCATATTCCAACTTAACAAATAATCAAAAACACTGAATTAATGAACAAGAAGGGTGGAGACAGAGGAGAAACTACCTGGCAGATATCGACCAGCCTGTCTCATACACCAGACAGGGACATGTTCGGTTTTTTCTCCCCATGCTGCTCGCAGAAATGTATCATTCAGCAGCGGAGGGAAGTCTTTAGGCCTAGGTGAAAAAAAAACAGAGCATTCTTCATGTGTTTGCATTGCAGCTGTTAGTGAATTATATGTTTAATAATTTAAAATCTTTAAATATGGAGGCCTATGCCATATCCAAGGTGCTTGGCCAAACATTTAATAACCACCAGTTTTAGCAGTCATTTAAAATGATCATACGCTGACATACATTACTTCAAATTAATACTAAAACAGACCTGATCAGTTTAACCCTATGGCTAAAATGCAGTTGCATAACACTGTTATCTACAGCACAAGCATATACTCCTCCCCTTGCACCATGACTTCATATTCAAAGTTAAAGAAACACAGATAATGCCCCAGGCTGCTGCCTTATCAGGCCACAGCAGCTGGAGGAAAAAAACGGTTAAAAGATGGATTTAAAAATAATTAATTAAAACTTGACTCAATTTTAAACTTAAGTTTCCCTCTGGCCGTCTGATGGAGTTTGTTATGAAAAAATGAGTATGAAATTTACTTTTCTAATGACTTATAATGTATAGTTTTTGTTATTGTTACAGACCTTATACATTCTTTAACATTATCCAAAAGGTCTTCTAAATCTACTTAAGGACATTTAACGTGAATGGGCAAGAACAAATATAAACAGACAGACCCAGAAAACTAACTCGTGAAAATAAAACATAGGAGTTTTTTTATTTCGCGTTATACCAGATTATCCTGAAAGTTGAGTTTAAAATTTGTAAAAATAAAAAAAATAAGATAATTGAATATCACAAATGTTTTGCAGTGATAGCACAAACGACTTAAATAAAACAAAGTCATCTGGAGTGATAACTACACAACACAAGTGAAAGAAAACGTTCCATTTTAACGAAGTAATACATGTCGTAATAAAGACGCGGTCGGGTTTGTGGACGTCATTTTACACCTGACAGCTGGCAGCTAGCGTTGCTAGACTGATAATAACAAGTGCACCAGAAAAGCTAGCACCGGGGCTACTCACAGTAAAAACCGGTCGTTGCTCATGTCCACTGGGCGAAGGAGATACTCCTGTGTATCTTTCTGTAAGAGTCTGTCGTAACCAATGGGCACTTAACTGTCGGTTGTTATTCCACAGTGCTACAGGGCGCGGCCATCTTGGAAGACCACGTGATCATATCGGGACAACTTGACTACGTTTCAAAATAAAAGTCTACCACGCTCGATCATACGTTTCATTCTCGTTCGTCTCCTTCGTTTCCCGTCATCCTCTTGTACATTTAAATCTATTATCTTTTCTAATACAAACGTTTTTTTTTCAAACGCACTCCACAGTGTGCGCAGCCATTGGTATATTCGGACGGTGTTTCACGTAGGGTCTAGATGGAACCATAAAGAAGGTTTTAGTGTTGTAAAAGGTACTCAAAAAGGTTAACAAATCACTAAATACAGAATATTGTAATTATAACATTTACTTTTTTAATTTTAATTTATTTCATACATCCCCTACTGCTAAATTGTTGCAACAAATCACAGAAGACACATTCTAATAATTTTACTAATACATTTCGGCAGTACTTTTCATAACCAATGGATGTCGCTGCTGTCACTGTTTTCAGGCTCAGACAGAAACATTGCGTTGTAACACAGATAGAGAGAAATATAGAGAAATATATAGACATTGGGAGAGACAGGGGAAGAGGGGGAGGGAAAGTGAGCGAGAGAGGAAGAGAGAGAGAGAGAGCGAGAGAGGGGCCACTCTTCCATGCAGCCCACTCTCCTCTCCTGTGCACAATACTCAGGCCGTTCCATCCTTCTTCACTTCCTCCCCACAGCTGGCTGGCTCTCTTGACTCTCACCCCCCTCATCCCCGTCTCCTCTCTGATGCTAGTGTGTCGTTTCTCGCTCTCTCTCACACATACACACACACGCGCACCAGACGATACACTTCGGAAAGACGGGATGACTGACACGTTTTGCAGGATCTGAATTTCGCTGGATTTATTTGCTCATCATAAAGGAGGGGAGCACAGAGGGATAGGGGGGAAAACGGAGGCTCTCCACCCCCCTCCCAGCCCCAACCCCCGAGGGACCTTATATTACAGTAAGCAGCCGCAATTTTGAATTTTCTCATTTGTGCTACAGGCTTGCACAACCGAATTTTCACCAAGGAGTCCGTGAGTGATTCAGTAAGGCAGCAGTAGAAACATGGCTCGGTTTTGTATCAGACTTGAAGTGTGTGTGTGTGTGTGTCTGTGATCGTTAGGTATTTATTGATTTACCTATTTATTTATTCATTGCTATTTTGTGTCAGCGTGTTCCGAGGCGCTGCCTCTGCTCTGTGTGTGTATATCATTGAACATCTCCATCATAATGATGCGCTAAAGGGCGGTGGTGCGCTGCTGGCATTGATCATGCTTTAAAAAAATGGAACACATCCATCCCTACAACCATCCGCTCATCCAACACCCGAGCTAAAGGGGCTGGAGGGGAGGAGAGGACGTGGGGGTGGGGGGGAGAAGAGATGAAGGGGCTTAGGATGAAAAATTTTCTACTCCTGGATTGACCTAAATATAAGTGATGTTTGCGAGATTGTCGCGACTGACAGACAGCGGCTCGCCGCGTGCGGCCTCACCGCCTGTTGTATTGCCTTGCGGGGATGAAGAGACGTTGTTTCCCTGCAGCCATCACCGGGCGTGCGGACGGATGATGAAGAGCACCTTGCTGCTTCCTTTCAGCTCCAGTCGGAGCTCGGCCCGCCTGCCTATTGCAGCATGTCTGTGCATTGTTTAGAACAATAAGGCCACGAAATTATTATTTTTTTCTTTAATTTTAACCCAGAAAAGAAATCTACATCTATGCTTTCTAATCGGACGCCTTTCACTCTTCTTCAAACTATCGGCCTCACTGTAAATGTGCTGTAAGTTACAGATCAGATTTGTCATTCGACATTCACAAGTGTTTGCATCTGACCTTCATGTGAATGTGACTGCCATCTGAAGCACATCTATGTCCCATTGACAGTGATGTAATCCTGGAACACTGTTGTCAGAAACACATGTTAAACTATTCAGTTTAAAAGACTAATACTTTTGAAAAATTGGAAAATTTTGGAAAATTAGCATATATACAATATTTGCATTCTGAGTGGCGTTAGTTGCCTTATTAACATATTATCATGAACTCTCAGAAACGTTTTCTGCAGTGCCCCTTTTTGCAGGCAGGAGCCTACACACCTCAAAACATCCAGGTGTCGCTTTAAAACTGAACTGAATGCCACCAAAACACGAAAGAAAGAAAATTAGAAATCCCTAAAATTTCCCAGCTGCTAAATTAATTAGCCTTTCCTTGCACCACCTAAAATAGCATGCACCCCTTCAGGTGGTCCACCCCTCACTTGAAAACCACTATAAGTGAACTTGATTCTGCTTATATTAATTTTAAAAATGTATTAATTCATTAATTTCAAGACAATAAAATCATGTGCAATCGACAATAAAGAAATACATAATAAAAGTTTGTTTGGCATAAATCCTTTTTTCAATATTAATATACATTTATAATTGACCTCAAGGGGGCAGTACAGGGGGCACACCCCTCCTCAATCTCCCTCCCAGATGTGCGTAAAGGCAGACGAAGAAGAAGTAAACTGCCTTCAGTTGTTCAAAATAATCACAGGAGATGTTGTACATATGCTGTTTATGGGAGGATTTATAAATTCTTAATTAGTATGAAATATTGTGTGTCTTACTTTACTAGCTCTACCATGCGTTGGTTATTTTGAATAAAGTTAGTGATCTCATTAAAGCTTCATGGGATTATCAAAACATCCAAAATATATCCTAAAATATATATTTATTGTGCAAATTTAATCATCTGTGCTAATAACCTCATTAAAGACAATGACGTAATGATTTTTTTGGAGAGAGAGAGGAGGGGGTGGGGGTGGGGGGGAGGTTACTGAAAACCCTGAAATGCCTCCTTCTGAGCCTGCTTTCCTCCAGGGATGCACCACATCCTATAACCTATAATTATTTGGTTCTCGTAGCCGATACTTATAGGAGACCTAATAATGTCATATTTTTTATTAAAGACAACAATCATTATGACATTTTGTTAAAGTTGACAAAAGAAAAAGAATTGCTGAGCTGTAGCTCTGACCAAACTCCTACTTCTCAGCATTCCATTTGTAAAGAGAGCAAATGAAAATAATTAAAATTCAACTGCACCTTGAGGATGTACAGTGGTCATTCGCTGTATCGCCGTTTTGCTGTTGGCCCTCAGTGCATCGAAGGTGTTTAATATTTTAAATAAATTCTTGCACTGCAGATTGTTCGCTTTATCGCAGGTTTTTGCGGTATATAAAATTTCCAATATTCAACCCCCATGATAGATGAGGGACCACTGCATACATATATATATAATGTATAGCCATAAACTCTGATATTTTATAATGAATTGCCTCAGCCTTTCCACTCTCTCTGCTGATCTATGGACTTTGACGCCTGAAGAGAGAGATGATTATCAGACTGATAAAAACGATCAGTTATCAGTGGGTACTTTATCAGATTCGATTTTATCATGCATCCCGACTTCGCACCACAGCCTTTTTCAGTTCCTGCTTGTTGGGGATCTCAGTGCTATTAGTGTGCTCATCAGGAAGTGGGATGCAGATAAGTAAGATAAGGTGATCAGGTGACCCACTCAGTCAGTCTTGGACATTTCTCGCTTTTACCTTAAAGCACTCTCGTGTTGCCTTGGCCGTGCACTCGGGATTGTTGCCCCACTGAATGGTCAATTATTTCTCATTGATGCTCCTGACGTGAGCTCACAGAGTGCCAGGGTGTACGTCCGCCTGATCTGTCACATATATCTGCTCTAAAGTCATCAGTTAATGGCAGCGTGCCAGTTCATTTGGCAGCGGTGCCCGAGCCATGACCATGTTTTACAGATGAGGTTGTGGCTCCAGGTCACAAGCCTTCCTTGTTTTCTGTGAGCTTAAAAAAACTTTAATCTTTCTTGCAAGTACACAGAACATTTTTTGGTACTTGTGTATAACAATATACATCAGAGAGGTTAACCATGGTAATGCTGAACAGACCTAAATCACAAATAAACACAATTACTGCTGGCTCATGCAATTAAAGCTTCATGCTTAACGCTGTTCACTTTTGATCTGATATTTCAGATAGCATTAAAAAATATGGTATTTTCATTTATGCACTTTCTCCACCCATTTATCACCGAGGTTGTAGTTTCTGTGCGACTGCAGTGGTGATGAAGACATTTCACCTGTGCAAACACATCTACTGATTGCTCTGATGTTGACCTTCCCAGCTTGTCAGGATATTGTTACTTACAGCGTGTATCAGGCTCAAACATAAAGGACTTAACTACCGGGTACCATTTCCTCTCTCCGCAGCTTCCACTCAGGGTTACGGCTGCTTCACTAATGGATGGTGGCAAATAACAGCCGCACTTTGCCTCCCTATCTCCCAGACTGAGTGGTTTCCCCTCTCCTCCATTGCCCTGAAAGTGTTTCTGAGCTGAGAGTACGCTACAGAGAAGATAATGGTTGTTTGTTTGACAGAAAAAAAATTCCAGTTAAATTTTGTTTGGGAATTTTAGATTATAAACATAAGTTCTGCCTTTTCGTCTCGCGCAACTCCTTTTCCTGCTCATGATTTTAGCTCTCTCTTGGCTAACTGGAAATATTTAGTACATTTGACTTTAAGCTTTAAATGTTTCATGGCTAATTTTTAACCTTCTCTTTATTTCTCAATATTTGGCTAATTGATGGTTGACTTTAAGATTCAATATTAAAAAAATTGTAGTTTATTTTTGTTTATTTATTTTGGGTGACTAGAATATGTTTTAAATAAAATATAGTTTTTAGCCAAAGCTCTTACAGTTGTATGTTGCACAAGTACAAGATTAATTATCTGTTTTATAGGTTTTCACCTACCAAGCTATAGGTTCCATGTTTGATTCTCCAGTAGTTGCATGTGATCATATTACTAAGATATTTTATAAAAGTAAGAGGTGTTTTTTTGTGTTGTCAAGTTTATGCCTTTGTTTTTCCCATTTCTCACTAAATAAAGGATTAGTTCAGCCACTATCTGCTCAGCGTTTACATGTACATAAAGAGGTATATAATACTCCTGTTAATCCGACTCATACCACACTGCTCACCAACCACTTCTATATGAAGGTGAGTGTTGCCAAGCTTTGGTTGCCAAGTTGTAATTGCAGTGACAACAGGGATTGGAGGCTGCCACAGTGTCACTCAGGTGCAGTGTCACAATTTGGACTCTATCAAGGCCGACCCCTGTTGGGTAAATGAGCACAACTCTGCTCTTAATGTCACGACCTTTTGGGTGTCAGGAGGAAATTCAGTTCCAACTAGCTTGGAGGAAGTGTGTAATGGAGGGAGAAGGAGAAAGCAAGAGGGAGAGAGGGAGGGAGGGAGGGAGGAAGGGTCACCAATGTTGCTAGATCTGAAATGCTGAAGTATCGTACCCTAAAATGATAAATATCATTGTACACAATCAATTTACTCTCTGACATAGATCAGGAAAATCTGCTTTTTAATGCTTAATAAAGCCTAAATTTTTACTCAAAAAGAGCATGGCAGGCTGTTCATCAGGATGAGCTACATCGTGCGTCACAAGGCATTCGATTGCACAGTGGTTAAAAATATGGAAAAACTGACAGTAACAATGTTGGAGGTTTGCTATTGTTTGTTTCTGTAAAAACTGTGTCGTTCTGTTTCCATCTACGCAACATAATTGCAACATTGTTTGTTTGTGGTCTCCTGAGAATTCATCTAAGGTGACCCTGGTTGTTCAATGTTTTCTTTTAGAATCAATATAAAATTATAATAGATACAGTATATGTAGTACTTGCCAGATTAAAATATACTTGCCAGTAAAACCAAATACACTACTGCTTCATGTCACAGTTCCCACACCCACTCACGACTCCAAACGTACTGCATCAGCATGCATGCTCAAAGCTCTTCTGTATTCCTCAAGAGAAGTGAGGCTAAAAGGTCACTGTGCTTTATCGTGACACGTGTAAAAAATAAGTTTTGTTATCTCTGACACATGCGATACATCAACCTCCCCAGCTGAGTCGTCATTTGTCCAGTTTCCCACCACAGCTACGAGGACAGTATGACAGATTTGCAACTATTGCCTTTCTCTGCTTTCACAGAAGATGTGACTCATTACCTTTTTTGATCTATTCAGGAAGTGCGGCAATCAATGGCCTTGCTAATAGCTTTCTGTGCGATCATTAGAAAGGGGATAAAAAATGTGGAAAATATGCTTATTTCTTCCACCCTTTGAATCATGTCAATTATAGAGAAACGCTAACAATGAGCTGAAAAGGTCGTGTTTTTTTTTTTGTTAATAGGGAATAAAAAATAATAATAATGAGGGTTGTTTAGTTGTTTAGGGAGGTTTAGTTGCCAATTACTGCCTGTGGGATCACTGTGCACTGTGGAATTACTGTGGAATTCTTCAGTGGGAGAGGTGTCAGTGATCAACCATAACGTATCAGTGCTTTGACATTTGAACGTTCCCCTTATCAGTGACTTCCAGTGACTGTGCTGTGCCACATAAGGTGCCATAAGAGATCGTCAGCTGTACGTTGGTTAAATATTCAATATTAATTAACTGGTCAAAAAGCTGTTCTTTATTTAGCGCAAATAATTTGTCATGTAGCAGCGACAAATGGAACAATTAAACACTCATCCACTAGGTGGCAGCTGAGCCCTAGAGCTGTTCAAAGATCTTCGTGTGTGTTTTTCTTCAATTCCTGCTAGTATATCAGTATTCTGTTCAACTATACAGGCCCCATGTTTAACACTGAGTTATATTTCATATATATTTATATTGTGAACTGTGGGGAAACACTACCCTGGAAATAAGTATGATGTTGGCCACATCTGAAGGATGCGTCTCTGCAGGCGCTCACCGACCCCAGAAATAATGGATGCTGCACGTTGCAAATGTTGCCAAAATATCTTACATATATGCACTAAAAGTAATTTCATTGTCAAACATTTTAACTATTTTATAACTTTAACTATATATACTGAATATATACAAATAGATTACAGAAACAGGTTTTTTGGGAAGGCCCACAATAATCTCTAGTAATTTTAGCCGTGCAGGAATTATATTGAGGAAGTGAAAACCAATAGAGGGAATAGGAAGAAGCTGTATTATATATTCCTCACTACACTGAGTGTTGGAACCACTGACACATGAAATATGAGACACAGCAGCAACTATTTATAGCAATGCAAGAAAGAGATGAAGACAGAAATTGTCCATGCCAAATACACTCTGTGGGTTTTTTTCCTCTTCATTTTGCTAATGTGGAAATCTACACACACTTACTCTATCATAGCAATGGCTCCTGACAGAGAGGTCAGAGTTGAACAGATGCTGTAGGGCCATATTTCCTAGCTTGTGTTAAAGCTTTGAGGAAGTAAAATAATGATAAAAAAAAAGTTTTAATTAAACACAGCATAGACGTGGATTAATCCCAATCCTGATTAACAACATTTGTAAAAATAATTCTGTATATTGTGAGAACAATCTTAAAAGCACTTTTTTTAAAAAGTAGACAACTGGGCTCACCTCCAGGTGATGACCTGGATGATTGAGAATAAGTGTTGTGAGAACAGAAAGTCAAAAAACAGAAGGTAGATGTATGTGTTTCACACTTGTTTCTTTTTGTGACTAATCCTCATGAGATACCAATAATATGGAAAAAAATATCATGAAAATATTATGCAAAATTATAACTCAAGAGTATTAAAAACTTTGAAAAATATCCTTCTTAAAGTACATTTAAAACAGAGAAAAGAATTCTGATTAATCTGAGATCAATTTTGAATAATCCAAACTATCTATTTGTGATTATATCCATTAATATATTTAACTCAATTGACAGTTTTGGAGCTTGCTGTCATGTGCTTGTGGAGAGGAGCAATGCAAGGTCTAATTTCCTTTAATGCCCTGTTTATCTCCGCCACTGCAACCTCTGTAATTAGACCATGTGGTAAAACCGCTCATGAATGTAGCCCTGAGAATCAGAGGAAAATGTATAATTCATGGTGTTGATTATATTTTTAGCTACAAGAAGTGTCTTTTTTTTTCATTTGAAGAGTGTAGTGCTAGCCTTCTTTCTGAGCAGTTGGGTTTTGTTTCTTAAATTGTCTCTGCCGTCTGTTGTTGAAAGAGGTGGAGCCGTGTTTTATTTTTTTAGATTCTCTTCCAAGAATTTATATATTTACAACTATGTAAACATAATTCCATCAGTGAATTTCATTCTTTGTTGTTTATGAATAATATTTTTCTCTTAAGCCCAAACTCTGGTTCAGATACAGGTGTCTGCATGTGTGAAGTTTCAGAGATGACTCAAAGTACTTCACAGTAATTGTACATTTTACCACATAGTTTTAGTTGTTAAAAAGTCATGAAAAACATGATGTACATTTTACCACATAGTTTTAGTTGATAAAAAGTCTGATAATCATCATTCATGTTTTGATCATAGCTGAACAGAAAAAATCTGTATCATCAGTTCAGACTCGCCTGCATTTCCCTGTCTCCTCAAGTGACATTATTCTACATGAAACCTGGGAGTGATGTTTTCCCTTCAACAGGGCGAACGACTTTGAATCACGAGATCTCATGTGCTCATGAGCACTAACAAGCTGTCATGTGAAATGATTTGCTCTGCTGTGGTAAACCCAGTTCCTGTGAAGAAGATACACAGCCTTGGAGTGTGTACGAGTGTGTGTTTGTGTGTGTCTGGGCTGTGTGTCACTATAAGCACATTAGCAGTGAGCCGCAGTATGTGGAGGTCAGTTGTGCAGGATGCAAGCTTGGTTGTCCGCCCCTCTCTCTCTTTTTCACACACATACACATCTCTCTTCTGGGATTATCCAGAGCCCTTTGCTTGCTGATGTCTAATTTTATACTACGCACTATGTACACGACACAACATTATACCATTATTGTATTATTGTGGTGAGTTATTACTTTTGCATATTTTTCTTGACATTTTTCCATATAATAATTCCCTCATTTGGAAACACAGACATCGTACCTGTTGTTCTTTGTCTTCGTTTCAGCAATATACAGAACAAAACAATGTGAGGCTAAAAATTCTAACTGTTTGACACGTGATCTGACCAAGTATTAGACTCATTCGACTATATTTGTACTCATGGTTAAAAGAAAAAAATCACCAAAACTTACAGCAGCAAAGATTAACACGGTTGTAAAACCTACTCATCTTCCTGAAAGCACAGTGAGGGAGCTGGATTAGTCTCCACCCATGGCAGCCGCAGGTGGTTTTGTCGACAACTGAACAACTGAGGAGGATAACATGGGATCAGCTCCCACCATGAGGGAGACCCCATCACCATAACTACACTGTTCCCACCTGCTCCCTTCTGTTTGCTATTCTCTGTGACGCAGCCCTTGATGTTGAGGAGACAGTAGTGACTCATCAACATGAGCGCAATGATGTAAAATTGCTGAGTTTAAGGTCATGGATGATGACCTTCCTTTCTTCTTAATTCAGATTTTTGCATACATCTATTTTTTAATCTTGTCATCTCTTTTCAGTTTCATTTGCCTGCTGCGTGTCTCCACTTTCAGTGTCTCTGTCAAATCACTCTAACTCTTAATTTGTGGTGGCTGCAGCTCAGCAAAGCAGTGAACAATTACATTAAAAGGCCTTTTCATTGTTGTGAATAGTTTAATGGCAGATTTGATTTGTCATTGATTTCCCTCTTCTGTGTAATTTTCACCTGTGAGTGTAGAAAGTATAGCTGAGTGGAGGTGCTGACAGCCTCTCAGCCATAATTCTTTGTTTCTTAAAGTACCTATAGTCACAGTAAATTGCTCTCTCTTTTCCCCAGGAGGCCAGCGAGTGCCTGAGGAGGGGTTTGACACCGCCAGCACTGCCAACATGTTGAGCCCCGTCTTAAACACCTCCAATGGAGACAGCTCAGAGTCTGAGACAACTTCTGCAATCCTGGCTTCTGTCAAAGAACAGGTTCGATTTCTGCATTTTTATGTGTGTCATCATATTTTATGTTAAGTTATTTTAAAGTTTTTAATTTAAAATTTTCCTTTTCCTTTTTTTTCTATAGAATCGTACTCTCTTTAACATATATATTTTAAAGTTGTTATTTTATTTATTCGTCTTCTGTCAGCCCTGCTGTAGTTAACCACAGTTAGCTCTGGCAGTAATGCACATTTTTTTCCTTAAAACTTCTGGCAGAGTTTCCCATGTGCTTAAACTGTTGGTTTTTTTTGCCTCAGACATCGATAATCTCTTCCGTTATTACAAGGTGATACAAAGTGAGAAACAGGAGGAGGAATAAAATCAAATTTCCAATGCTAATGAGCTGCTTTGTACCACTTTGAAAAAATGAAAGCTTCTCAAATGTGCACAGTGTGTGTGGGTTTGGTGCAGTACAGTTGTTGTTTTGCTCGTGGCGGCCTACACCATGTGTCGGTGAGTATTATTGGATGTGAGAAATGCACTTTAAAGCTAAAGATAACCAGTGTTTGCTGAGAGTAAAAGAAGGAAGAAGAAGAAGAGAAAAACTCATGCATGTTTTAGACTGCAGCCTTTCTTTAAAGTCAGAGTGATACTGTGAAATAGCTTTTCTAGTCCAACCAGGTCAGACGATCTACAGCCTCGTAATGGCCTTGTGAGGTGAAAGAGTAAAAAGTGAAAGGCTAAAAAGGGGGACACAAGGATGAAGAGAGAGATAATAGCGGTTCGATCTTACCCAAGGGCCACTCTGTGGAAGAGTGGTTAGTGCTCTTGCCTCCTGCTGGTTCACTCTGAATTGACCGTCGGTGTGAATGTGAGTGTGAATGGTTGTTTGCCTCTGTACATGGTCCTGTGATGGATTGGTGAAGACCACTGATGCCTGATGAGTGGTGGGATTGGATCCAGCTCCTCTGTGACCCTGAGAAGGATTAAGTGGTAGAGGATAAATGAACAGATCACCCCCCCCACACACACACACTCCCCTCCTAACACCCACTATCCTTCTTTATCAGCTGGAGTTATATCCCATGCTCCTGTGGCAGAGTGAAGTATTTTTTTCCTCCCCTAAGTCATTTGTTTTTCACTTCGCATCAAACTTCTTTTTTTCAGTGAGTCATTTTTCAAAGTTCGGCCTGGTAGCACTGTTTATCACCAGTCTGAAAAACAGAAGCCGCTTTTGTACGTTATTGTTTTCTGTACATTTTTGGCAGTGCGACAAACATCGAGATGCTCAATAACCATCTCTGCCTTCTTGAAGTTACAAGGTCAGGTACAACAAACAGAGGAGGCGGTTCTCTGTAGATGCACATGCTGCCACAATGTGTCGATCACAGTCCTCTCCTCCTGCATCCGACTTACTCTGACGTGTCCCTGGATTGAGATCAATGCTGTTTTGGTTTTCATCACGTGTTGTCTTTGTTCTTCAAGCCGTTCATCTTCTCTATAGTCAACACATCTGCTGTAGTAAAAACAGAAAACAAAAAATATTCCATTATGTTATCCTACTTCATACCACAGGTATAATGATGACTCATAGTCAACCCAACATTTTACAGTATTACAGTATTTACAGATATAACACATACTTCCACTACAGCGAGTTTTTTTTAAGGGTTTGCTACTATAGGCTGCTTAAAATGAGTGAGAGCTGACTGTGTAATATTACCTTCAGACAAGTTAGAACACTCAAATGTAACATGAACTATTTTACCTGACATTACAAATACGTTTTTTGATCCTCTTCTCTATCAGTGACTCCAAATGTGTAATTTGTTCCCTGAAGTAATTATTCTTAATTATTAAGTGTTTGCCAGAGTTAAACAATGATTTCACAAACGGAAATATTGTCTCTGACATCACTGTTCATGTTACACATGTTACCCACACTTGGCAATTGTTTTTTTTTTTCCCACTCACACCCACACAGATATTTCACTACATTTCTCTTGGCAAAATAATTAAGTGTTGATGAGTATTTTCCATCCCATAACATGCTGCCTGGTTATTAAGACTCAGGGCAGTCACAGTGATTTCAAGTCCATCAGTTAACTTTGAACATGCTTTATCTGATTTGTCTCATGCCCAAAATATCTTTTTTTACATTTTGTTGAAGATTTAAGTTCAAGGACAAATTATTTTCTTATAAAATAATCCAAAGTCATATTTAAATTTCACACAAATTCATCAGCTAGGTTTATATGCTCCCTCTGTGTCTTCTTGTCTTTTCTTCCTGTTGAAGGTATCTGGAATGTCCCCTTAAATATTACCAGTGGAAAACATACCCAGTAGGGGGCAGTACTCTGGCTTAAAAGATTCAAATCTGCCACTAAAGCTATTAGAAGAACTGGAGTGAGGGTGTTAGCCTAGCCTAGCTTCTGTGTAGCCTGACTCTGAACAGTAAAATCTAAAATAGTTTCAATAAAAATAGAGGCAGAAATCTTGTTGGTGTCCAGTTTTAAAAAGTGTGGTTCATGCTTAAAATACCAGTTTATCTGGTCAATATTAAAACAGTGAACACGTTGAAGAACAGAGACTAGATCATTTACTTACACACACACAAACGCACAACTGTGGATTAGATGTGTAACCTGATCTCACCTATTTTGAATAAAGAAATTATTGGAGGCTGGATTTTTGTGTGCAGCATCTTTTTGACGTGACTTTCAGACAGAAACAATTAAAAACAATCTAGTGTCAGGGAAGAATTGTCCCAGGACTTGTTGCAAACATAATGCACTCTATTTACACTCTATACATAGTTAAACCATACTGTAAATTTGAACGTGTTCAATAAATCACAATTAAACACTAATAACCACACACACGCACACACGCACACACAGAAACACATGGTTAGTTTGTCCAGTGTTTTGTTTTCTGTACCCTACTTCAATCCTCTTTCTCTCCAACTCCCACCCTCTCATTCTCCCAAAATCCCTTTTCAGTGGTGAATAGAGAGAAGAGGGAGGAGAAGGTGGTGAGGGATGCAGATGTTTTTAGAGGGAGAGGGAGAGAGAGAAAGAGAGGGGAGACAGAGAGGGAGGCGGAGCATAGAGACAGCAGGCTCTTTTTTGGCAAAGTTGGTCAGTGGGAGGGCCTATTGTGATGCAACGTTGCATAAATAATGCCACAGACCCTCTAAATGCTCTGTTGCTATGGGGACCTTTGTGCCTCAGTGAACAGTGCATGTGTCTGTGTGCATGCGTGTGTGTGTGTCAGTGAGTGAGAGTGTGTGTGATTGCTCTAAAGCCCCAAAGTAGAGACAAAGAAAAAAAACAGACGACAGAGAGAGTAGGACTTCAAGTGACACTTGTAGTCGATCTCTCTCTCTCTCCCTCTCTGTCTTTGTCTCTGTCTCTCTGTCCCCACCTCTTTCTCTCTCTCTCTCTCTCTCTCTCGCTCTCTGTCTCTGTGTCCTGGCCCAGGACAGATGAATGTCTGCAGTAGGGAGAGAGGCAGTCATGATGCTTTTTGACTGGGAGGGAGCAAACAAAGGCTGGATAGCTGCTGATTTTTCGGCGTGTTTGTAAAGAATGGTCTTTGTGAAGGTACGCCAGCGTTATACTTTTCCCTCTATATTTGTATTTGTGTATTTCCACGTCGCCACTAAGAGTCTGGAGCAGCAGACATTCCATCGTGGTCTGAGCTTTTTTCCCCACTGCAGTAACAGGTGTCTGTGTCAGCCATGCTTTGGAGGCAGCAGAGATTAGAGATGCAGCGGGGAGGGGCAAAGGGGGCTGTTGATTTTGTTTTTCTACAGAATCATACTAAAATCTTTGGGTCTTTAGGAGTTTAGGGAAAAGAAAACGATTCAAATATTCCTTGTCTTTTCCGACAAGCTCTGTTACGATGATGTCTGAAAACGAGTATCTACCCACAGTTAACTCCTCAGTTTACCAAGAGGAGTTTGGATGTGGTCCACGTGCTGTCGAGTTGGAGATGTTGCTTTCTTGCCATGTTTATTATTGTTGGTTGTACCCCTAATTATTTACCCCTTCCACACTGTGTACGGTTAAAGACTGCAGTAAGAAACAGTTTCATAGTAGCACTTGTTAAATGATTTATTGAACAATTTATTGAACAACCTAACTTTGTACTTCAAGCACTTGTTAAATGATTTATTGAACAACCTAACTACGTACAAACTGAAGATTTATTATTTATTATTACAGTATTTACACTGTAACTAACACTCCAGAGCTTGTACTCTGTGTGTACCATGGGTGATGTAAGAACGTGCAATGTTAATGCTAAACAAACACAGCAACCAGCTAAACCAAAACACTGCTAAAATACAGACAATCAATCTGATAAAATCAGTTGATCTAGAAGAAAAAATATGAATTATAATAATTACAAATTGCTTAAAACCAACTATAAAAGTCTCTTAATTTGTGATCAGCTGATAAGCTGTAGTCCAGACACAAAGACTCACACTGGCTGTTGTTTGAAGGAACATACATGTGCAGCAAATGAGGTCATTGTGAACGGGGAGGGGGGAGTGTTTTGCAAGTACAGTAACATACTTGTGTTATGATGGCCCTGATGGCCTTTTCACCTCAGCATCCTAAACATAGCATCACAGCATTTTACAGCTTTATTAATTTTTGATAGCCAAGCATGAAACAACCCCGACACTGAACATTTTCCAAACTTCAATACTTGATGTGTTCTCTGAGTTTTCTCAGTGTGAATAACAAGTTTCACATTTGGGATGGCTTTCATTTGGACTCTCAGATCTCTGACATATCAAAGACTTCCCAGTGACTAACTGGCAAATGAATATCTGCTCCATTTCCCCACCACATATTGTGTGCATTAGCAACTTATAAAAATGTTTAGGACCAAAGTAACAAGTCTGTCAAATGTGACTGATTTTTGTCCTCTCTCTTGCTCTCACTCCAGGAGCTGCAGTTTGAACGACTGACCAGAGAACTGGAAGCCGAACGACAGATTGTTGCAAGTCAGCTGGAGAGATGCAAGCTTGGCTCTGAGACTGGAAGCATGACGAGCATCAGGTTTGTATATTCTAGTATATTCGTGTGTATAACGGCTGGGTACAGTTAGACTTAGATGTCATGGTATTTAATATATGCTCATGATACTTTGCGTGATATTACAGCCCTCTCCTCAATCATGTTGATAGCAGAGAGTTATTTCCAAGCTTTGTGCTGCACTTATCACTGACATGACATTTATAAAGTATAGTTATTTATAGCATGGCCTAACTGATGATGTTTTTCTTTTTGATCGACCTTTTTATTTGTGAGTCAGATTTAAAATGGATCATATGTAACAACATTTCTGTTTTTGAACTAAAACTATTTTTATGTGATCAGCTCTCGCTCGCTCTCTGTGCTTGAATATGTGTTGATAAAACATTTTCATTGCAGCTTTTTAGTTGTTTACCTCACATATTCACAGCTCCCGGTGCGGTTATATTAGTAACACTGAGGATGTGATGTGGAAAGCAGTAGCA